TATTTTTAGTAGAGACGGGGTTTCACCATGTTGAGCAGGATGGTCTCGATCTCTTGACCTCGTGATCCACCCGCCTCGGCCTCCCAAAGTGCTGGGATTACAGGCTTGAGCCACCTGTTATGTTTTTAAGACTAAATTTCACACCTGAAATTTTCAAGGTGCTCAGGTGAGAAATTGGAGCTACAATTGATTACACAAGTTGAGCCCTGGTGGTAGAGGATAAGGAATTGGGCTTTAAACTACTACAAAACAAAAAAAAGAAAAAAAATATAAACTACTAACGTAACCAGCAACCTGTTAGAGGTTTATTCAATAGCAGCAGTGTTATGAATCCTGTTTCTGTGACTATCTCAGCAATCTTGGGATGCATTCAAAACAAACAAATGTACACTGATGTGTGTTTGTAGGGACCTCAGGTTCCAGACCACGGTTGTTCTTCAGTCTCATTACTGTTCCTTTGAAAAACCAAGATTTGACCATAGTTTTACTTAAATCAGTAACTGTGTGGTATCTGTGATCCCCTTTCCCTACCCTCCATGCTTAAACCAGTTATTATTTTAAAACTGACTATATAGAAAAGTCATCTTTTTTTGGTGAGTGAGGGGGAGGAAGGAAGGAGAAGGTGACAAAGACAGCATGTCATAACTCCAAAGGCTAGAAGTAATTTTAAGATCTTTGTCAAACAAAATCTATAATCTACATGAACTAAATGTCGTGTCTCAATATAGCCCTTGTTAAATAAATATCTGCCCTAATTTCCAAAAGAATTCTAAATTTCTAAGGTTTGGACTACAATTGAACTTAAAGTTCAATTTATAAAATTTCATTTAAATCAACCATTTTCTTGTATTTTGCATTTTGGAAGGGCTCTAAAAATATTTTAAACTCCCTTTGAAGAATCCTCTTCACCGAAAAAAACAAACAAAAAACCTCCCAAAGCAAGAATGCAGAAGACTGAATTGGGGGATGGAAATCTACCTTTAAGAAATAAAAATGGCTGGGCACAGTGGCTCACACTTGTAATCCCAGCACAGGCCAAGACAGGTGGATCACCTGAGGACAGGAGTTTGAGACCAGTCTAGCCAACATGGCAAAACCCCATCTCTATTAAAAATACAAAAATTGCTGGGCACGGTGGCTCACACCTGTAATCCCAGCACTACGGGAGGCTGAGGTGGGCAAATCATGAGGTCAAGAGATCGAGACCATCCTGGCCAACATGGTGAAACCCCATCTCTACTAAAAAATACAAAAATTAGCTGGGCGTGGTGGTGCGTGCCTGTAGTCCCAGCTACTCAGGAGGCTGAGGCAGGAGAATTGCTTGAACCTGGGAAGCGGAGGTTGCAGTGAGCTGAGATCATGCCACTGCACTCCAGCCTGGCGCCTGGCGACAAAGCAAGACTCTGTCTCAAAAAAAAAAAAAAAAAAAAATTAGCCGGGCACAGTGGCAGGCGCCTGTAAGCCCAGCTACTTGGGAGGCTGAAGCAAGAGAATCACTTGAACCTGGGAGCCAGAGGTTGCAATGAGCTGAGATCACATCATTGCACTCCAGCCTGGGCAACACAGCGAGACTTCATATCAAAAAATTTAAAAAAATAAAAATAAAATTTAAAAAGGAGCTGATCACTCTGGCTGTCCGTAAAAAATAAATAAATAAATAAAAAGGAGCTTACAACCATGAGTTGTTAGGCATACAGTGGCCATGCATGTGGGGACTGATCAGTTCTCCCACTAGTCATCCTTTCATTTCTCGCTATACTTCGCACACACTGACAGTTCGCTGAAAGGCAGGCCCAGGCAGAACCTTAAAGGACTGTTTTAGGCTGGACGTGGTGGCTTGTGCCTGTAATCCCAGCACTTTGAGAGGCCAGGGCAGGCAGATCATGAGATCAAGAGATTGAGACCATCCTGACCAACATGGTTAAGCCCTATCTCTACTAAAAACACAAAAATTAGCTGGGCATGATTGTGTGCACCTGTAGTCCCAGTTACTTGGGAGGCTGAGGCAGGACAATTACTTGAACCCGGGAGGCTTGCAGTGAGTTCGAGACCAGCCTAACTAACATGGTGAAACACTGCCTCTACTAAAAATACAAAAATCAGCTGGGCGTGGTGGCACATGCCTGTAATCCCAGCTACTCGGGAGGCTAAGGCAGGAGAATCACTTGAACCCGGGAGGCGGAGGTTGCAGGGCGCTGAGATCATGACGTTGCACTCCAGCCTGGGCAATAAGAGCAAAACTCCGTATTAAAAAAAAAAAAAACGCGACTATACAGGGTTGCATATGACAGCATTTCTCAAACTATCTATGGCAAAGAAGTAGTTTTTATAATTTCTAGTCTGTCTCAGACCACTACATAGCCCTACTGTGCATGACTAATAACCAGCTCCCTTCATCTGCAAAGCATTCCAGTTCAGGGACACCTAAAACTGTCTCTAAGTGCTTGGATGTTGCAACAATGTCAAACTGTTAAGTTTCAAAACACTCTCAATTTCTGTAGTCATCTCTTTGCAGATAACATAGTTTGCAGACTCACACTGGTCTGCAGGCTACCCTTTCAGTAGTACTGTTCCACGGCAGTGGTTCTCAAATGGGGATCTGGCCTCCAGTGAACATTTGGCAACGTCTGGAGAGATTGTGACTACCTTGATTGGGGGTGGGGGTGCTACTGGTATCGAAGGGCTGGGGATGCTGCCAAAGTTCTTATAGTGTTTAGGATAGTCCCCCTTGCCCACTGAAATCATGTATTCAACATGTCGTAATATCCAGGTTGAGAAACCCTGTTCTGAAGGATCGAGTGGATAATGTGTGGAAACTAGATATGTAGAGTGTGATGTGTAGACTGCCAGGTACACAGGAAGGGGTAAACACATGGCAGACATTGAGTTCATGTAGAGTCATGATAATCCAAAATGATACTAGTAGCCACTTTGTAGATATACAGATGTACCAAGGATATACAGTAGGAAGGGAAGGCTTTGGCAAGAGGCAGATTTATCGTGAAGTTTGCTAAGCTGTAAGTTCCAGAACTCCTTCCAAAGCTATGCACACACACTTATGTATGTAGTGTGTGTGTGTGTTGAAGATATCCTCCCACAACTTATGTTTCAAGCCCCACCAAACAAATTCTAGTATTGGCCTCATCACTTCCTAGCTATGTAACTTGGGGCAAATAACTTCACTTCTCTGAGCCTCATTTTCCTTATCTGAAAAATAGAGCTGCAAGGTCAGGTGCAGTGGCTCACACTTGTAATCCCAACACTTTGGGAGGCCGAGGCGGGAGGATTGCTTTAGCCCATGAGTTTGAGACCAGCCTGGGCAACAAAATGAGACCCCCATCTCTACAAAGTAAACAACAACAACAAAATTAGCCGGGCATGGTGACGCCTGCCTGTAGTCCCAGCTACTCGCCTGGGAGGCTGAGGTAGGAGGATCACTAAACCCAGGAAGCCGAGGCTGCAGTGAGCCAAGACCGTGCCACAGCACTCCAGCCTGGGCGACAGAGACCCTATCTTAAAAGAAAAAAAAAAATAGGGCTGCAAAATCGTACCTTTCTCATTAAGTTACTGTGAGGCTCAAATGAATTCGCGTATACAAAATGCTTAGCACAAGACATAGGATACAGGAAATGCTCAACAACTGTTATCGATTTTGCAACAAATGCTGGCTCCTTTGGGAAAGAAGAGGGGTGGGGTAAGTGTTGTGCCTTGTCTAG